ACCGTGAAGGAAGGAAGTGTCCGAACATGCGTTTTTCTATATGTTTTCATGAACTAGAGCCTACCATATTTAATAATGGAGCATGTTGTATTGCATTTTTAATAGAATCCTGCGATTCCAAGAACTTACCTATATGATCCAATGGCCTCTAAAACAATTTGGCACGCAAACAAGTCTAATTTATTTATACTAAGTTTGCATGTCATGAAAGTATTATATTGTAAACATCTGAATCCTAAAGCTGGAAAATTGGCGTGGCCGAGAGGGAGGTTTAGATGTAAGCCTTCGGGTTTCGGAAGGCAGCAAGAGAACTCTCCTAATAAGTGGCCGACGGTACATCCTTCCTTCCATGGCATATATTACTTGCAATTCGTTGTAGTCGTAGTAGAACCTGGTTTTGTCTCTGTCTTTGTCTTGAGGATATATGATTCTTCTTGTCTTGCTCCTTAATTTCTTCTCAATCCTTTTCTTTGGTCTTGCAGATTCTCCGTTCCACACTCCTTAAACCGCAGCAATTGCATCATCCGCGTAAAACTTTTCCTATTCTTTTCAAGTTTTTCTTTTTTTTTTTTTCTCTTTTGAATTGTATTTATTGTGTAGGGATCTTTGCTAAACTTCATTCGGACATTTTTAAATAGAAAACAAAGTTGAGACGGTAAGGTAATCTGTCATTGTGCATAGTTGTGGAAAGCAAGTATAGCTGAAGAAGTAAGTAGAAAGACGTCGAAGGGCAAGGCTCTAAGCTTAAGCCAGTGGCCAGCTGCAACATACGTACGTAGTACGTAGAGTAGAATTTTCATATTTCTATCAGCACACTCAAATGCAGACAGAGGTGCGGTCCTAAACTCGACCACAACAAACCCAATATGTATGTGAATAGATATTCAACCCAAACCTTGTCAATTACCTAACGATTTAAGTAGGTTGAAAGTTTAAAAAAAGAATCCAAGAAACAATTGCATCAGGATTTCTGCCTGAGACGCATGTTCGTTCTTGCATGACATTGATTTGTTACTAGTATTTCATATTTGAGTAAATATTAATTATTGTGGGAGCTCCTTCCAGACACCACAGTATAGGCCAGTTCAGAATCGAATTAATTGGGTGGAGAGATTTCTATGCATTTTCAGCTTGTAGTGGACAGTATGGATGATCGCTTGTTAGCCTCTTTCTTGGTGGTAACTCTGCTTATTGGCTCTTCATTTTCTGTTGCTTATGGTGCCAGCCCTCTCTCTCGCTTTTCTTTTTCTTCTTTTTTGGCGTATGTTTTCCAACGTTATTTTGTGTTCTCTTTTTTTTCTTTTTCCCCTAAACTTCTCGCTTGGCTGCAGATGGACCTGTCTATGACTATTCTGCCTACACTGCAGTAAGTGAATCAAGATGTTATATTGCAATGTTTACTTTTAAAGAATTGTTATTGTTTTTGTAGTGATCATTCTCAAACATCAATTCACTACTGCCCCATTTGCACTCAAAAACTTCTTCTGCATCCCCCCCTGGCCCCCTTTTTTTCACAAGTGCAAATCAGCACCAGAAGATCCCCTATACAATGGTGGGATTATAAAGGATCGAGTTCATGGTAGAAGGCATCACAAGCTCAGCTTGTCTGGAAGTCGAGATAATTCCCCTGCAGCATTCGTCTTCTACAATCTCCCCGGCAAAACCTTCTATTCCTTCTCCAGTTGAGTGCAATATTTATTCAGCTACCTACACGTTTTCCATGAGCTAGTCAATTTCAACACAAACTACCAACTGGTGTAAAAACGACGAGAAACAACCAGCGCCGAGGTTATGCTACGTTTCGGTGATACTTCGCGCCTTGGTTGCCAAGTACATCAAATTTATGAACCCAAAAAAAAAAAAAAAATCCCTGAACCAGAATTTTTTTCCTGGAGTAACGGGACATTATTCAATGAAGTAAAAATAGTTTCGCGGAACAGAATTAATGGTGGTGCAAGACTGATTGGGAGTTCAATCGTAACTGTGTCAATGCGTTTGTAGTACCCGTAGTTTGGGTGTTTTTTTGTACATGTAAGAACTTAATGTTGAACAAGTCCAGAATATACATAATTGGTATACGCTAAAAAACAGGTTGGCTAAAGGTAGAAGATGCAGACTCATCCTCCATACAGGCAAGCGTGACAACAGACAAAACGACGTATCAATGCGCGGGCACTGTAATCGCAAAGCAAGACTGCTGGTCATTTCTCAAAGGTGGCTTTGTACTCGACTCAACTTCGAATTCTACTTTTCTGTTTCTTCAGGTAGGTTACTCCCACTAAAATCATCCCCACAATACTTCGATTAAAATCATTGCCACCATATGTCAATTTATTAATCGTACATGAAATTAAGCCCCGGATCTTTTTGTCAATTTCTTTTCTCCCGCGTGGCAGGATGCAGATGGGGGAGATGTCAATATAAGCATCGCGAGCGCTTCTCTGCAGCCTTTCACTCAGGAGCAATGGAGGATAAACCAAGAATATAGTATCAATACTGTACTTAAATCGTTCTGCATCTTCTTCTTCTTCTTCTTTTTTTTTTAAATATATATCAATAATTGCGCGCCTCTTTCCACTCCCGTAGCATCTGTAGCAACATTCTGATTTCAATTACCAAAAATGCTCCAGAAAAGAAAACGTGCCGCCATGATACACGTAGCAGATGTCCATGGACGGAGGTTGGAAGGAGCACTAGTTGAGGTGGAGCAAATTTCAAGAGAGTTTCCTTTCGGATCTGCAATTGCCAGCACTATCCTTGGAAATTTGCCATACCAGGTTTGGTCTGTTAGACTAGTGTTACTCGAGTTTGAAATAAAGTCTTTGTTCATGGAGAAACAAGGAGCCAACCAAAGAAAACAAATTGTTTCAGAACTGGTTTGTGGAGCGGTTCAATGCTGCGGTATTCGAAAACGAACTCAAGTGGTACGCAACAGAACCTCAGCAAGGAATTGTCAACTACACAGTGCCAGATCAGATGTTGGAATTTGCTCGTGGCAACCAAATCATGGTCAGAGGTCATAACATATTCTGGGAGAACCCCAAGTATTCACCTCCGTGGGTTCTCAATCTCACCGGACCAGAGCTGAAGGTGGCTGTCAACTCACGCATACAAAGTTTAATGTCTCAATACAAGAGTGAGTTCATACACTGGGATGTGAGCAATGAAATGCTTCATTTCGACTTCTACGAGCAAAAACTCGGTCCGGATGCCAGTCTGCAATTTTTTGAAACATCCCATCAAGCAGACCCTTTAGCCACCTTGTTTATGAATGAATATAATGTGGTGGAGACTTGTTTTGACATGAACTCCACCGTGGATGCCTACATATCGAGGTTGAGAGAACTCGAGAGAGCCGGAGTTTCAATGGACGGAATTGGCCTAGAAAGTCACTTCACCATTCCAAACCCTCCACTAATGAGGGCAATACTGGATAAATTGGCGACACTAAACCTTCCAATTTGGCTTACAGAGGTAGACATCGGCAATACACTCGATCAACAAACTCAGGTCTGATACCTTTTCAGTTGAATCATTATTAGTTACTTGCACAATTTTAGAATCTCTGTAGCTAATAATCTGATCCTGAACTCCTTTTTCGGTTCTTTGTTCATCAGGCTAGGTATCTTGAAGCGGTTCTGAGAGAGGGCTTCTCACATCCTTCTGTAAATGGCATTATGCTCTGGACAGCATTACATCCTAATGGGTGTTATCAGATGTGCTTAACGGACAACTATTTTCGCAACCTCCCAGCCGGGGATGTTGTTGACAATCTCCTCAAAGAATGGCAAACTGGGGCGGTCGAGGGTCAAACAGATGATCATGGTTCATTTAGTTTCTACGGATTCTTTGGTGAATACAAGGTAACTGTTTGCTACGGCAACAGAACAGTCACCTCAACATTCTCCCTTTGTCAAGGTGATGAAACGAGACATCTAAACATTCAGCTGTAAATCTTAGTAACATCAACCAATTACTAGAACGGACTTCATAACTTCCTGTTACTAAATTACAAAAAAAAAAAAAAAAATCCGGCTATGAGGCCTGATGCAGCTAGGTATGCTTTTTTCTCCATTAGAAAAATGGACTTTACCTGCTAAAATTAAAAATTCCAACTCGCAGCACCCCAACCGTCAACCTCGGGCAGGAATTGATTAGAACGTTTTCCCGGTATGAACGGAATATGATATAGGGGCCGCGATGCAGCTTATAGAGCACAATACCACATCTTTTCATGCAAACATATAATCTGATATTGCCAAAGATTATTGCGGAACTTTTTAAAGGTCAGACAAGGGAGTGGAATCTTCTGAATATATGGCATATCTGCAGGAAAAGGCAGCAGGCAGGCAGCCTCTTTTTCCCTCCCAGATCTAATTTAATCTCTCATCAATTTATTCGGGGCCAGCAATAACTTTATGAGCCACTTAGAATTCAGTATGGGATTAGTTAGAAAATTATCAAATAAAGTCCACTACATGCTCCTTCCCCCGCCTTTTTTCCAAAGCCGGAGAGGAAAGAGGACGAGGCACGGCCCACGGGACAGGATAATCCCACTTTTTGACTTTATTCCATTCTAATTCAAAGACCAGATGACTAATGAAACCGTATTGGGCCAAGGGGATGATGACGGCCTTTGAAATGCAACAACCCGTTTCACACATCATCCCGAATGCTCGCAGCTGCTTACCATACATATGGTGAGCAGCATCCCCATTTACCATTGCTGAGCCGCAGAGGACACGGTTCTGTTGGTAATGGATGCATTTACCATAGCAGACAAAAACACTTGTTAAAGCCATGCTTGCAATTCCCGCAAAGCGTGCCTTTATCACTCCCTCTTTGCATTAGTTCCCCAAAACCAATACTTTCTGCGCATTAGTTCCCCAAGTATTAATTATTGCCAAACTATTCCCGCTCCTTTTTGTCAGAAACTATTCCCGTTCCTCAAAGTGAAAACATTTTCACAAATATCTCTTCAAAGCAGCCCACTAAACAGCAACCCTACAAACGAGCATACTTCAGCTCTTGCAAACTTGATACCAACAAAACTTTAGAAATGGAACAAAGTTAATAAAATTAGCAAAGGAAAAGAACATTACGTATGCACATTTAAAGGGAAATACATAGAGACTACTCCTAGAAAAAGGACTAACAATGTGCAAAACCCCATCTCATTTCCGGCCAACCAAGCCCTGCTGCTGGTCCTCCGTTTTCAATGAATCAAAATTATGTATGCACGGGAGACCAAAACCCAGAAAAGCAAAGACACAATAATAATTTCTTCCTACAACTGCAGAAAGCAGAGGCTGAGTGCAGCGACGGCAAATAATAGCCCGGAGTGCAAAACAGATGCAGCAAGTGTCCTGGTTGAGGCCCCCATGGCCAGACCAGCCAAGTACGAACCATCTGCCAGCATAGCCTGAGAACCTGTATCCGACTCCGAGCCAGAGTCAATAACCATCGAACCTGACCCGGTTTGTGACCCCATATTACCTGATTCTGACATTGACCCATCGCCACCATTTGTCGTCGATGTCGTTGTCGTTGGTGTGGGATCTTTCGAGGATTTCTGACTGCACAGTTCACAGGGGATAGATAATCAGTAGTATGATGCATTAACCATTTGGTGACTACACCAATCACATTTACTAACTTCTGCAGTGCAAGTAACTACCCAGTTCAGATCATTTGGTGAAACATTTATTACCCCGTCAACCTGCTAAATTGCACTGACAGCCATTCATCAACGATATAGGGTGAAAGAAAGAGTAAATGCACACTACATCACAAAAAATATCACTCTGCTAAGCTAAATTTGCATAGATGTTTATGGAGTTACGGGGAGTAAAACTTTTAGTCTAAAACGTAAGGATACTTTCATTTTACCCTCATATTAGCAAGAACACGGAGAATGGGACATCATTTTATCTTGCACCAGAATTCCCATGAAAGAAAAGAAAAGGAGAAATTAGAAAATACTCTTACTGCTACCTTTATAATTCCATCCTTTTTTTTTTACACTACTGAAGTCTCAATTAAATAATAAATACCAGCCCCAAAACAAAACTAACAATGAGAAAGGAAATGTGTAAACTTACCTGGGCATAGAGGGGCAAAACGTGACCGTATAATCAGCACCGCTGCAGGTGAAAGTACTAGTTGGGTCATCATAAGCGTAGCTGTAGGATCTCGGGCAAGCCGACTTGAACACTTGCGAGTAAACCGACGGCTTACACGACGACGGTGAGTTGTACTCGCCGCTGCAGCAGTACTCTGGACTCCCAAAGGCCTCACAGGCGCTTTTACAAGCATTTCCATCCCCCACCCGCAACTCAGCCGGGCAGATCCTGTTCAGATCCGTCACGCAACCCGTCGAAGCGCACATTCCCGACCCGCCCGTCCCTTCAACTATCATGGCCACATTGTAGCCGTCCACGAGGCTGACGTCATAGAAGTCCTGGCCGCCAGTCCCCAAGGAGAACTCAGCCAGCGTCGCCGGTGGGGCAGCTCCTGCCCCGTTGCATTCCACCTGGCCAGACCCGCAGTCGCCGGTGGCGCATGAACCCGACCCGGATCCATCGAAGTTGCAGCCCGTTCTTCCCCAGAATCGGCCGGACCAGCCGGTCGGAGCGATGAAGGAGCGCGAAGCGTCACTTGGGAGCTCGAACCCGGTGCTGTCGAGACTTGGGCTGCCGGCATTTGCTAAAACCCCTGGCCAGACTGTGTACTCACATTTGTTCACAAATGTGAATGTAGTCCCCCGAACGCCTGAAAAAAGAAACGTGACTAAGAGAATGCGAAGCAAAGAAAGCCCAAATCCAAAATCTTTAGCTTACCACCTAGTGATTATTCCAAAGCAATAATTAAAAGAAAAGATTAGCGAAAACGAAATCTCTGGCCGATACATTAAATGTAGTTGGTGAAAACGTGCTGATATTTTGGGAGTAAAGAAATGTTTTGCTTACCTGTGAAAAGGGTGAGGAAAGCTAGGGAGAAGACGAGAATGGGGGAGGTGGAAGAAGGGAATGAGGGGAGATCCATGTGGGTGGGTTGCTGGAATAGTATAGTATGTGGTTATTGTTTCTTTTTTGGGTTGTATCTTTTCGTTTGCTGTTGGTCTTTTCTGCTTGGGAGGAATCAATGGGGAATGAGTTGGAGAAGAAAGGTGGAAGAAGAAAGTTTTTAGTTTTGGGGTAATGTGAAATGGGGTGGGGTTATGCGTTCGTTTTGGTGTTAGATAGACGGTGAAAAAAGGCGAAGCAGGTACAGATACTGGCAATGAGAGGTGTGGGGAGGGAGAAAGAGAAAAGGACGAGTTGGAGTGTCCTCTTGACTGATGCAGGGCTCTGTTTTGTTAACAGAAACAAGAGCAAAGCCCTGCTTCAGCTTGAATGCTGCTGTTGTAGCAGAGGAGTGGTACTGGAAACGGGACTGTGGGAGAAAGAGTGAACTTGAGAATTATGGATGCTATTTCTATGCCATTGTACTACTACAAGTTTTTCTCTTTTTCTTTTACGTCTATTAGTCCAAAAAAAAAAAAAGGGCCGAGGAGGCACTGGTGCCTAGGGAGCAAGTTATGGCCATCAGCAGCTGCAAAAGGATAAAATGCACACTCCCAGGGCAGGAGTGTCAAGGGTAAAAGAATGCCAACAGAATCTGGCTTTCCCATATCCTTACTGTTGCATTCACAAGTCGGATAGTAATTGTATGGGATAGATTCAAAAGCGTAGATATGGTAATTAATTGAGCGCATTATTGTTAAAATATGGCATGATGATGATGATGATGATGGCAGAGGCCGTGGTGACGTGGTTTGAGTTGGTGCTTGTCTAGGGCTGTCAACGGGTCGGATCCGGATCGGAGTTCATTATTCCGAACACAGACCCAAATCACTATACCGGAACCGGATCCGATCCGTTTATCTGACGGGTCTTTTATTCTATGTTTCGGATCCGGATCCGGCGGGTCCCGGATTCGGATCGGGTCTACTCGTACAAATTTAGCAAAATTTATAAATTCTAATAAAAATGAGAAAACAATATATTTATAAACTAATTTCTAACTAATGCAAAGAAAAAACCAAATAAGAAAAGAAATCAAATTGACTTTACTCAAATACATCACCCTAATCAAATTATATTGATAAATATATATTTTTTAAATTATTAATTCATTTATATCCGGATCCGGGTCTAATACGGGTGGGAATACTATATTCCGTATCTGACCCTTTTTTTTGTTTGACAAAACGGATCCGGATCCGGATCCGAAAAATGGAATTAAATCTCTACCCATACCCGCAATAATTTCACGGATCCGGTCCGGATCCGGGTCTAGACCCGACCCGTTGACAGGCCTATGTTTGTCCTGTAGCTTGTGGCCTTATTTGCCAGGCAACTTTTTTTTAAAGTTTGTCAGTAATAAATTTTTGGAAAAATCGTTCAAAACGTCTCTCACATTTTATAAAATAATTTTTTTCGTTCCTTACTTTTAAAAATATAATTTTACGTCCCTTACAAATTTATATTGATCAAACTTGATCTCTACTTAAGTTTCCGACTAGTTTTTTGTGGGAATTCATCACGTGCCTTGCACGTGATCATTTTTTTAAGGCAAAATTGTCAAATCAGATTTTATATAATTTGATTCATAATTCCTCACAATTCATAAAATAAATTTTTTCGTCCCTTATATTTCACAAAATGAATTTTTTCATCCTTCACATTTTTCAAAATAAATTTTTTCATCTTTTATTGATCATGTGTGTGAATAATTTTTTTTAAATCCATGTATATATCTATTTGATTTCACCTGAACAGTACGAATAGCATGTGAAATCAAATAGAGATATATTACATACTATTCATACTGCTCAAGTGAAATCAAATAAATATATATATATGAATTTAAAAAAATTGTTAGTTTTTCACTTATATTCATTTTCTTTTACTCCAATTTTGAAAATAAAGAAGACATTTAATTCTAAATATTTTCGAGTGTTTATATCAAATTAAATTTGGATAGGAAAAGTAAACAAAAAAAAAGTATGACAAAAAGAAATAAGTGGTTAGCACTTTCAAATTTTAAGATAATCACAAGGCAAGTAATTCAATTGTTGGCCTTAAAAGTGTCGAATAGAAATTTCAGATTTAAACTGAAATTTGTTAGCACAATGATAGAATTCGAGTTAAGATCCATTAATTAGATAACTTTATTATACAGTTCAATAAATAAATTATTATCAAAAGAGAATGTCACAAATATTGAATAGGTTCAAATGGTGAAATCATATAAATATATACATGGGTTTCAAACAAAATTATTAATTTTAAACCCCTATATATATATATATATATATATATATATATCTATTGAATAGCGTGTGTATAACTACGATTAGCATGTTTAGATGAAATTCAATAGAGATAAATTACATGTTATTCATACCGTTCAGATAAAATCAAATAGACATATACATGGAAGAAAAAAACTATTCGTACATATGATCAATGAGAGATGAAAAAATTCATTTTGAAAAATGTGAGGGATAAAAACGTTCATTTTTTGAAATGTGAGGAATGAAACAATTTATTTTGTAAAATGTTAGGGACAAAAAAATTTATTTTGTGAAATGTGAGAGACTATGAATAAAATTATGTAAAAATATGATTTGACAATTTTACCCTTAAAATGATCACATACAAGTCACGTGGTGGATTCCGACAAAAAACTAGTCGAAAACTTAGGTAGGGGCCAAGTTCGGTTAATTTAAATTTGTAAGGGACGTAAAATTACATTTTTAAAAGTGAGGGACGAAAAAAGTCATCTTATAAAATGTGAGGGACGTTTTGAACAATTTTTCCTAAATTTTTTAATAATTTTAATTACAATAATTTCAAAAAAAATTTTAAAATTTTAAAATTATATATTTTAAAATATCCAAAATTTTACGCATTTCAAAAATTTTTTTAATAACTTCTACAATAAATTATAGTAAAATTTTAAATCAACACCCGAAAAAATTCACTTGTCTAAGGCCGAGTTCTCGACTTAAAGTAGTGGAGTAGGGCAAAAACTTGGATAAATCCGGTCTACGGTCCCACCTGTAGACCGAGTGACCCATAATGTGCCGCGTCCTCTTCTCATTTTCAAGTTCTTCCTCGCCTGAAAAATCTACCAATGACAGGATCCTTCAAGCTTTTTCTCTGCATATCCTGACCTCAATCCTCCCAGTTACCGCCACCATTATGAATTCCTCCATCCCACCTAACTTCACCGCTCTCTTCTCTTATGTGTTACCGCCGGCACCTCCTGCATGCAATTCTCCCAGTTTGAAAACTCCTCCTTCCTCTCCACGAGATTCTCTTCCCCTTCAGGCTTTTTGAGACAAAAAATCCACCTCTTTATATGTTTCATCATCTCCTCTGCCCAATCTTTGAGTTTGAGTATATAAGACACTAAGACTTACAGTAGTGTCTCTTTAGTAGATCTGCAAATCAAACGAAAGATAGGACTCATGAATTTTCTTCCTTTCTTCTTCTCCCAAGATTTTCTCTGCCTCAAGTTTGGCTGGCTCCTTTCTCATGTGATTTTGTTGATATAAATTTGTTTGTTTGAGAATGAGTTCCACCTTTCAATTGATTACTTTGGCATGCATAAACATGATTCAAAAGGCATCTCTATATATTTTACTACACCACTCAGTTGGGGTGTTACCGTCGAGAGACAAAAGGGAAGAAAAGCAACGCACTGCTGCGATTGAAGAAGCTCGGGAAGAGATCCTGAGTCGGCGTCGTTTTGGAACAATAAAGCTTCGAAGGAGCAAATTTCTGATTTCTGAGTACTTCATTTCTATTGATGGCGTGGCACATTGTAGGTCACTCGGTCTACGGATGGGCTAGTAGACCGGATTTACCCAAGTTGTTTTTGCCGTGAAGTAGCGGAGCGGTCTATGGATTACGAATTTTGACCCCCTTTGGACTTTTTGGACCTGGTGTACCGTGCCCATATGAGACTCTTCGGTACAAGACACTGGTGCAAAAAATTCGTTTGACCAAGCACCCCCATTTCTTCGATTTCCCAAGCTGTCTCATAGATTTGTGTACAATGTACAGTCCACTGGGAACCAACTACTGTCCAATAGTTGGCCATCAGAAGAATCTCAGAAATTCCTTTAGGTGTGGAGGTTAAGCAATCCCTTAATACGCATGCTAATTTAAAATTTTTTAAAAATTTCATCAACGAGTGTAAAAGGCTTATCTTGCACTCGGCTGGTCTGGTCTGATAGACTCAATTTGACCGTATCGGGCCTTTTTTCTCCACAAGTGATCTTCACGTTAATTGATCCACATAACGAACCTTTTCAGGACTACTGCTAGGACAGCAAATCGCAATTTCAACCATGAAAAGCCAATAACAAAAGGGAAAAAAAAAATCAAACAAGATTTTATTTATGGTGTCGGCTCTATATCCCTTAAGCTAATCCACCAGAATATAAAGACTCCTAGTCATCTAAGTGTGTGTATATATATATATATATTGCAGGTGGAGTTGGTGTGGTGGTGAGGCTGTAATGGCTACACGGATCACTGGAGCTCATAATGCAGAACATGTGGAATGCTTGGCATTTTCTCCGTGCTTTGGAGTTTGCAAGAGACTTTGGAATCACACATTTCTCGCTAGAATGGGATGCTTTAAGTATTGTTGAGAGGATATTTGTCATTGATAGGTAACTTAATTCATGACATATGATGGCTGCCTTTGATTTTGTCAAAGTTAGTTATGTGAGGAGGACCAACAATGGTCCTGCCCACGTCATGTCAAAAATGTCGTTGTCTCTTGAGAGAAGTGGAGTATGGTTTGTGAACTCGTTATTAGTGATGCTGCTCTTGAAGATTTGACATGAATGGAGGTTTTCTTTTATGCTTCACAAAAAAAAAAAAAAGTGTATGCATTACCCGTAATTAATCCAAAATGAGTGTATTGTAGACTCATCACTCGGCATGTACCTGATCACCCAATCATAAGCATCGCTGTTGCAACGGATCTTCTGTCTCACATCCAGTGCCATTCTCTGTCCCACTTTTTATTATATTGCTATTTCTCCTACATAAATATCATGTTTTAGTTCTTCTTTGTTTCATTAAGATCCAATAACTATTAATTAAGTAAAAAATAAATACAGCAGCTTAAAAAATATAGCAAAAAATTCATAAAAAAATGAGATAGAGAATGACACTGGGTGTGGGACAGAAGATACGTTGCGCATCGCTGCCTACTTCAATTACTAATGAATCAAGGCATACGCCTGCTCCGGTTTTACACCCCCCCTCCCCCACACAACCCTTTCCCAAAAAATGATAAGAGGATTTATTTAGATATAAAATTTATTTATTTGCATCATTAATATATTTTTTAATAATATTTTTATTTTATATGCATCATATTTAAAATGTGTTACAATAGTATTTTTTAAAAAATAATTATTCCAAATAATCTACTATTCAGACACACTTAT